TCCAACACGCCCCCTTAAGCACCAGTAAGCTATGCCACCAGCCTCACCAAACTACCCTAAACCCTAAACCTGAATTCCTAAACCTTAAGCTCTAAACTGAGTGTATAGTTATTATCATCATTATTATTGCAACGATCATTATTCTTATTTACTTAGTTATCTTTTTTTTTTTTTTATAATCTTGATGGACGGTTTATCGAGGTGGGGCCTTAGCTTGCACTGCTCTTTCCATACGAGTGGGTTTAGGGTTTAGGGCTTGAGGGTTCAGGGTCTAAAACGGGGTTCCCAATCTTCGGGGCACCCTTTAACTGGGTTGCTGTTAAGGAACTTAGATGGAGTTAGTATAACAAGGAAGCCCTACTGTTGATACTAAAAATCTTGCATGACCTTCACATAGTATAGTACCATAATTCCCAAGATATAATATACTTAGGGTCATTCAGGATTTTTAGTATCCACCGTATGATGTATTATAGACCCACATGCTGATGGCTTACTTTAAGCCTCTTAACAGCAACCGAGTGGACCAAGCTTGTTCATGAAGACCCCTCTTAGAAGATGCATTACAGTACATTATAGTACATAAAAGCATCTTATGGTATATTATAGTATATTACTGTATATTATGGTATCTTATAGTATATTATAGAATTTGGGGGCTTCCCAAAGTTTGGGGTACTTTTTGGGGGTTCCCAGAAAAAGGGTCATAGTATTTTGAAGTCTACATTGGGTCTTCCTATTTAGGGAAACTTTTTTGTTATGCTGTAGAACACTCTGTTAATCCTTAATTGCTAGCAGACCTGTTCGGATCCCGATGTAGCCAACTTGAATTTGCTGCTCGGCTCAGTGTAGAGTAGGAAGTTGAACGCTTTTCACTAGGTATGTAGGCAGCATGAAGCTCATTGCAAGCACACTTGTAGTCTTTCCAGACCGCTATACTCCTAGCATGTAAAGATTGCCAGACCATATCGCAGCAGACCATTGGGTTGATGCCAGGTTGCTCAAGGCCTGAAGTTGAATGAGATATGCATTCATGGTTCGTTAATGCGGTGCCTTGTCTGGTTCGGGTCTGCAATTTCGAAGCCCACTGTACTCTTTTACTCCAGCAACACAAGACTAGTAAATTGCCCATGTTCTGATTCCTTGCCGCTCCCGTATTGGGTCTTGCCCCATGCAGCTCATGAGAGGCCACGGGGCGGGATTCTCATGAGTTGCTCTGCTTCCCAAGGTTTTGTTAGCAATTTTATGTTTGGACTGCACTTGTGGGAGGTAAGGACGCAAATGCAGCACAACTTACTCCCAAACCCGTGATTGCAGAGATAAGGACCTCAAAGATCTTTCCTCAATGCAGAGCAGTTGCTTCGTTCTGAGATTGGGTTAGCAATCAAAAGATATTTTGTGCTTGTATTGCGAGATGGAATGGGCAAGATGCCTGGCCCTGAACAGGTACCATGTACAGCTCAGTTGAAGGTTTTGCTACGATGGGAGCGGACGCACGAGATGGATTCTTCCTACAGGGGATTTATCTATAGACTCCTCAAATTTTAATCAGGCCTGAGGTGGAAGCTTCAGCATGTCAAAGCCAACGCTCTACATCCCTATCCAGCCAGGGCAACTGATGTCACGCATGGAGGGTCATGGGGACTTAGTAAGTAGGTTAGTAACCTCTACAAGCCATGTCATAACCTTAATCTTCCCCATCATTAACCTGCTTGCTAAGTCCCCATGACTTTCCAAGTAGCAATGATTAGCAACAGATTCCTGCAACCGGTGTCAGTATCCACAAATTTGAATAATGCCAGAAGGTCTTGGGTACATGACTTCTTGATGTATGTCACGAGCACACTTCCCGGACATGAAGAAGGCTCCGTTCTTTACAACATACCCACAACCCGTACATCGCGTTGGATTCCGATTTGATTCTTCTGAACCCTCCCGAACTCCCCAACCCAAGCCCCTAAACCCCTTACCACCAAAACCCTAATCCCCTAAACCCGAAAGGTTAGATATTGCGTACAAGAAGCCTACTAGGGGCAAGCGATCGGTGTCCTTAGCTTTTCACAGCCCTTTGTGCCACCAGAGCCCTAGCACCTTGCAGTTGTTTGTCCTGTCATGTTCTGCCGTATGGAAAAACTCTTGAGCGCTTCGTGTACCTGGAGCCTAAACCCTGAGCCCTAAACCCTAATTCTTGAACCCTGAACAGCTGGCATTTCCAGAATTTGGGCCTAGGGCTCAGGGTTTAGGGGTTTCCGGCGTGGATGCCAATTCTAGGTTTTCCTAGTGGTGCACATAGGCTGGCTACCTCTTCTGCGACGCCGCTCATTATTTCGAGACCTCCCGCAACAACGCCTTATTGTGATCACCAGTTTTTCTCTTTGTAATTGCAATTTTGTGGCATCCCATATTGCATCTAAGTCCCATGTGATCCCTGGCAGCGGACCCTCTAGCTCTTGCTATTTTCCCCCTTCTACATCTAAAACCTGACCTCTCAAATCCCAAAGGTTTAGGGTTTAGGGAAAACGCAAAGGCCTCATTCCTAAGTCTAAACCCTCAAACTCTAGTATCTTTTCAAGCCTCTAGGCCTAAATTCCCTAACCCTACACCGGAACCCTTATGCCCAAAACTCTAAATCCTAAGCCCGATGAACCCGATAAACCCGATAAACTCGATAATCCCTGGAAAGCCCATGAACTCTTTAAACTCCAGAAACCCTATAAACCCTGTAAATCCTCCATAATCATTGGTCAACCCTATATAACTTCTTGAAACTCTACAGGCCCTGTAAACCCTTAAAACCCTACAAGCCTATCAACCCCAGTATCATTGTAAAGCCCATAATTATAAGCTCTATGCCGCTATGAGAAGTGTAAACCCTTAAAATCCTACAAGCCTGGTGAATTCTGTAAACCATTTACAAAAACTTAAAACCCTACATCACTTCTATGATCCCTTTAATCCCTATAAGCCCTATGATAACCCAAAACCTCAAACCCTAAAGCCTAAACCCTTTGATCCCGATAAACCCTATAAACCCTATAAACCCTATAACCCCTATAAGCCCTATAAGCCCTAAAGCCTAGACCCTTTAATCCCTATTCACCCTATAAAGCCGTATGGCTCTTCTTATCCAGGCCTCTTCTGGCTTCTGGCCTGTGTTAGGCTTTGGCCTTGCCGCACTGATACGTGGGCCTGGCATGTCCAACCGAGATGTGGGTTTAGGGTTAAGGTTTTCGGGTTAGGGTTTAGGGTTTAGGGCCTGGGGTTGAGGGGTTTGGGTTTAGGGTTTAGTGTTCAGGGGTTTAGGGCTTAGGGTTTATGTTTTGGGGTTTGAGGGTTGACACTACATTTTGAGCGTGACCCCCGGTACCTCATAGCTTTTCTAGTACACGGAGGTACAACATCAACAGTAGTAGTGCTTAGGGTGTAGAGTTCTTTTCAGTTGAGGGGTGTCCAGGGTGATTGTGGTTTGGGGGTAACCCGAAACCCTAAACCCGAAACCCTAAACCCGAAACCCTAAACCCGAAACCCTAAACCTGAAACCCTAAACCCCGAACCCTAAACC